ACGTTTAACATTAGATCTTGATGTCAAGAGAAGTCGAGTAAACAATCAAACTTCGGCCGTGAATTTGCTGAATTGGAGGGCGCGTTTAGAACACAAAAATGCGCCGCTGTTAATTCTCTTGAATTTTGTTGGCGCAGCTCGCTCTACGAATTGCGTCAACCACATTTTTTCTGCGTCAATGACGCAAGGGCGCGTCCTAGAATGAACACTGCTGCACAGTAAAAAGAAAACCTACGTGACAACCATAATGCCTTGGTGTATTTAAGTTATTTTTTTCTACAGTTAAAACACACCAAATAAATAGCAAAGTTTGATCATATAGTATTCTTCAAATTGCTCATTTGTCAAGAAACACACACCAAAAAATAAATTTAAAAAATCACCACCTACCTTCAATACTGCGACCCCATTGGACAGCTTGGCCACTCTTTCATTCAGTTTCTCTTTCTCATAATCTGAGTTGGTCATCTCAATCTCGTCCCTGATCTGTTCAACCCTCTTGTCCACGGCTTCTTTGGATCCATGACCCTGGATAAGTAAGAAAACAAAGTATGATACATGCACTGGTTATCTTTTGATAAATAGACCACAAGTGCATCCAAGAAATATTGGTGTTGGTGGTGACTGGAAGGGGTTTGGGGAGCCGAGGGGTCTTCACTAATTAGCAAAGGAAAAAGGTAATTCCTATCTTTGTGAATCACCCACTGAACATAATTAGGAATGGCATTGTAAAACATCAAATTCCTTCGTAAAAATCAAAATGACAACAAACTGTTCTCAGACACAAACAGAACTCATCATTGGCCGTCAGACTACAGCACCTTTCTAACCATTAACTTTGGTGTTATTCATTGCTCATGTTCATCATAAAAGGTATCTCCACCTGGAAGAGTTCTCTCATGCAAGCACCCATAAAATAGGTTTCTTGGCTACTTTTTCAACTCCAAACATGTATCCTGTCATTTTATACAAGTGACCATTTACAATAACATTTCCCTGCCTTTTAATCAATCAATCAACTAAAATTACCTTCATAATCAAGGTATCATCTTTCGTGACCACGACCTCTGCGGCTCTACCAAGGTCATGGATCTGCACGTCTTCCAGTTTGTATAACTCTGCCTCGTCGCCAAAGACGATGCCACCTGTGGCGACCGCCATGTCTTTTAGTGTGTTCTTCCTGTTGTCTCCGAACCCTGGTGCCTTCACTGCACACACCTGGAGACCAATCTTCAGTCTACAACAGAACAGTAGAAATGGAATTTTGTCTCTAGAGTTCGCCAGTTTAGTCAAGACCCAAAAAAAGACATTTTTCTCTGTGACACTCTTTTATGCGTGGGAAGAATGGTGAAGGGAGTAAGAGGTACTGCTAAATAACACTGAAGACGTAAAGCAAAATAGTTGCAATAAATGCATAAAATTTGCACTGTTTTATTGACATTTTTTAATAGAGACGTGTAGCATGTTTGAATGACACAGCCAGCCTTGGGAAGGCAATAGCCATGTAAGTGAACAAGCTGATAGTTATTGTAGCACTGGCCTTACCAGAACCACCAGTATAGCAACACACTGGGGAACTCCGCATAGCCGTGCCAAAAATTATTTTCCTGCATTTTCTTTATGTTTATGACAAAGTTTCAATTCTCTCATGCAATTGTTCAATCTAAATTTGTGCTGATATAATGAATTGAAAAACTTGGAAATGTAGATTTGAAACGTTACATGAATTTCTGAGTATGTAATATTCAGAATGAGAGGTTAATAGTACTTGTTTCAAGATTATAGGTATAATACCATTTTATTTGTATTGGGAATTTTTCTACATCTTTAAAACAATGAACGCTAAATAAATATCACTTAATATAACATAAACATCCACAACATCAATATAAAATCCTACCCACCTGTTCAACACCAAGGCACCCAGAGCCTCACCATCCACATCTTCTGCGATGATCAACAGCGGCTGCTTCGCCTGATTGGCCAGTTCTAGAGCTGGGATGATCGTCTGAACATTGGAGATTTTCTTTTCGCTGAACAGAATCAGGCAGTCTGCAAATTCGCACTTAGCCCCTGTGTGAGAGATATGAAATGTTGGTTTTCATTTTTGAACCAAATAATTTTTTTTGAAATCATACATCTTCATTGGACAATAATGATAATGCACAAAAGGCAAGTAAAACTCTTTCTGGACTTAGCTTATTTCAGGAGAATTATTATTTTGAATGACAAGTGAAAACTCACCTTTTGAGGAGTTCATAAAATAAGCAGAGATGTAGCCTCTGTCAAACTTCAGTCCCTCAATGACTTCCAACTCGTCCTGGGTCGTTTTGCCATCCTGAAAACAGCAACATGTCAAAACATTTTCTTTTGATTTCTCACGTCTCCGCTGATGACACTCTACAAGTCTAACTTGACTCAATAATTACACATAAAGAATTAAAATTTCTATCTTCTGTTTTCATCTCAATTAAATTAAGTTTGACGGTGGGTAGGAGAGCTTGCATCCACTAAGTAACTACAACCAAATATCCATATCCCATTTCATACACTTTTTAATTTCAAATTAATAAGCATTTACCAGCCTTTTATCTCATGTATCTCTGGCTCTCACCTTAACCGTGATGACTCCGTCCTTCCCCACTTTCTTCATAGCACTGGAGATGAGCTCCCCTATAGCTTTGTCCCCATTGGCTGAGATTGTTGCCACCTGGAAATGACCAATCACAAGAAATAATAATATAACAGTATCTCCTTCAAGCTAAACATGTTTTCACATCTTATTCACTTATTTGTAGTTAGTAGACTTATCTGTTTTTTTACTTGCATCAATACAGGAGGAAGCCACTTGTGAGGTAACTTGCTTTCTATCCCCCCTTTCTCCCTTTTTTTTTTTTTTTTTTTGAAAGGAGGGGGGGGGGGCATTCTCCACTAAATATGCAAATGTTAAATGTTGATAACAGTGAGTATACTTACATATTACACATATTACCTTTTATCATCAAAACAAGTGCATGGTGAAAGTTGTAACAACTGAAATTCCTACAATTTGGCATAATCCTAAAAGCTTTAACCCCTCACAAGTGTAGCATGTTTGAATGACACAGCCAGCCTAGTGCAGGCAGCAGCCATGTAAGTGAACAAGCTGATAGTTAATGTAGCACTGGCCTTACCAGAACCACCAGTCTAGTAATTCGCTGGGGAACTCCGCATGGCCGTGCAGGGGGAAAATTTCAACCTTAATTTTGACAATTTATTTGTTTCTTCACTCATACAATATTTAATGACCAAAAACTTAAAAGAGTACCTCAACAGAATTTTGGAAGAAAAATAACTTATGTTTCCATGACAAAAATCAATGATACACAGTTTTTTCTTTATCACAAACCACAACTTAAAGTCAAGAGGTTAAGTCTGGGTAAGTCACCCTCTGTGTCTCTCACCTGTGCTATCTCCTCTGGAGTGGTCACTTGTTTGGACATTGACTTCAGTTTGTTCACCACTGTCTCCACTGCCATCATCATACCTGAGGACACAGGAAACAAAAACTTAAATCTAAAATTGCTGGAAAAATTATCTGGAGATTATAAAGAAAAAGTTGGGTCATGTCCATTTTCTAACTAGCCCTGCACTTCAGGCAAAATGGACAACAACAGCATGAAAACATTTTTTGATAGAATTCTGAATTAATTTTTTTTCTTAAAAAAACAAAAACAAAAACAAAAAAAAAAAAAACAAACAAACAAACAAACAAACAAAAAAAAAAAAAAATCTAATACTTCAAAGAACATTTTTTTTTTTCTGTAGCCAATAACTTTAAAATTCAAATTGTTGTGTAAGGCATTGTCATTTGTATACAGTGCACAGCATTTTAAAATTCTCTCTATGTTTTTACTTCATGTTATTACTCCTATTTACCCTTTCTGATCTCCACAGGATTAGCCCCCTTTGTAATGGACTCAAAGCCTTCCTGGGCAATCTTTCTGGCAAGAACTGTAGCGGTGGTGGTGCCATCTCCAGCCTCTTCATTTGTGTTATTGGCGACATCTTGGACCAGCTTGGCGCCTACGTTTTGGTATTTGTCTTTCAGTTCAATGGCCTTGGCTACAGTGACGCCATCTTTGGTTATTTTGGGGCTTCCCCAGCTTTGTTCAATGATCACATTTCTTCCCTGTAGATTTTACAAAAAAAGATCAATAAAAAGAGAAGTGTGTCTAAAATGTACAGATATCTTCACTTTTTACAACTTGTGCTCAGATTTTGTAGAAGTAACTGTTCAATAAGCAATTCCAATCATCTCAAATTCACATTCCCTTCTTTAATTATTACATATCTGCATAAATTTCAGGAATAATCTTTTCAGATCTTCAATAAGGTAAAAACATAGCCTCCTACCCCACACTTTTCAACATTATACTCATGGAATTGAAAAAAATAATCTTTTAAATGAGAGAATTAGTCTGCCGCTTGGTAAAAAATTCCACTGTTCATTACCTTTGGTCCCATGGTGACAGCCACGGCATCTGCCAGTAAGTTAGCACCCGCTAGCATGCCAACGCGTGCCTCGCTGCCAAACTTCACTTCCTTGGCGTATGTTCGCACAGTCACGGAAGACTTCAACTGCTTTCCAAGGGTGGAACGTATGATACTCGATGCACGAAACATTGTGTTTTATCTGGAAAAAAAAATTTCAAAATATATGTCTAGATGATATTTAGAGATTTTTCTTCCTAATAGGACTTTAAAATGTGCATTTGTCTCGGTGAACTTTTTTTCTGGGGGAGGGTGGTGAGGAAGAATTTTGCTTTAATATCATATGATCCATTCTACAAGTTCTCTTGAACTATTAAGGAGGGTATTTTTCACGATTATTTATTTGAGAATTTCAAGTCTACAGGATTGTAGGCAAATATGTGATGGTTTACTTGTAAAATGCACAGCAATCAACTGTGTAATTCTTGTACACTTTAACCCAAAGATCACCCTCCTGGCATTTTCTACATTGTGCACAATTGTCGTGCCTAAACTTTTTTCACTCACCATGGATGCATGTACAAGGAATGTTACATCTGCAAACGACTTCTAACTCTACTCAAGTTTTAGTCTTTCTCAGTGAAAGAGCAACTACACGTAAAGTTCCTATCGAGCATCTAGAGGCATGAGCTTATGCAATCAACACAAATATTACATACGCTTACAATTTCTGCAGTAAAAGTGATCTAAAAGTCAAAAGCCAATTCTTCAAAGAACATTCTCTGAATGGCATGTTCGAGACTCGTCAATATTTACTTGGTGTGGATTTATGGCAAGGACGGCCATGTGCGCTGAAAGCACGTGTTTTGTAATGCAAGTCGCCATCTTTATCAATCACAAATATTAATCGAGAAGTATTCGATAACAGCAAAATGCAAAATGTTTCTCACAACCCTGAAGTGTTCTTCGAACATATACCTACCGTCTTGGTCGACTGTAAAAAGATATGTTACAGAAAATCAGTGAAACGCGTAAAAATCTTCACAACGCCGGCGAGTGTTCAGCTTACTGCACACGTTTTGAGAACGAGACTGTGCCCTTTAAAACTTGGCGCCCTAAACAAGGATGATTATAAATATTGGCTGCGCAAAACATAAAATCTACAGCCTTAACAATAGTTAATCAATTGTTTTAGTTTTATTTCTAAATTGTGAAATATTTTCAATCTGTACAATGAAAAGTAATGAAGTTTTCAATTCGATTCAAACAAATACGAAAAAAATTATCAATTCAATCATACTTATTCAGAAACCGGGCACCTACTTTCTAGAATATACGTTCCAACAATGTTAGAAAGTTGCGTCTTTTGCTGTTTTCTTGGATTAATATTAAATTGACTTATCAATCTGATGTTCAATCGTAGTTTTGAGCAAATCTTTATCTTTTGACACCGTTTTAAGAGCATACATTTCATTCAATTAAAATAAATCCACGTGAACTTAATTTGACCTTAGTTCGTTTCTCCCAACCTGAATGCTTAAGCGCATGCGTCAATAGCGTTGGTGTCCACACGTGTTTTACCTTGGTTTCTAGATTTTCCTTGAATTTTCCTCCGTAATAGACAGGATGGTGCGATTGGTAAGAATTCGAGCTTTGGTATTGTGTTTTAGTGTTTTGGGCTACCAGTGTTTCAAGTTGACATCCTTGTTAGTTTGTACTTTTAGAAATATCCTTTATTTCTTGCACGACCGGCGTTTCTGTGATGAAGCAAGAAGAACGTGCTCTTGCATTTGCGGAGAACTGCATGATTTGGGAGGGGGGGGGGGGGGGGGAGAGATGGTCATGATGCAAGCTTTGCAACTCGTTTTTTGAAGGCTTACTCAATTGGTTATTCTTTATTCGTAATGCTATTATTTATTATGTTCAGACTGTAAACTGATGGAGATTTTGCTTATGTAATTTTTATAATTGAATTAAATTGATTTTTCAACTAAAAAGTGCATTCGTCTTACAATTGTAATTATTAAATGACTTTGATAAGTATGCATCCCCCTCTCTCCAGACCTCAGTTGTTTCCATATTGTCATACGACAGCCAGTCTTACACAATCTCAGACTTTAGGCTGCTGTGATAAACACCACCTCTGTATTGTTATGTAACACCCCATTTCCATAGATTTTTAGATCGATCTATCCCTGTGGGGAGTCTCACTAGATTACTGTCAGCTTGGCCGGCTTAAGCATCTGTCCCGCCTACTAAAAGCTGTAAGGGGGTAATTAACTATGGTGCCTGCTCGGCTGACTGCAATTTAGCATGAACCCCCAGGGAGTTAGGTCAATCTAAATCTTAATCTTTAGATCGATCTAAATCTCTGGGAAAGCACCCTAATTGTAGCACATCCTTCTTGACCACATTTCTTAACACTGTTTCTAGGCAGGAGTCCTGAGGACATTTGTTCCACTGTTTGATCGTGTGTTGGTAGAGCGACTGGCAGCAGAAACCAAGACAAAAGGTGGCATCATGATTCCAGAGAAGTCCCTTGGGAAAGTGTTACATGCCACTGTTGTCTCCACGGGACCAGGGTCAAGGACAAGTGTGAGTGATGAGGATACACCCTGAGTATCACATGTTTGAAAGCTTGAATCTACGTTCAGTTTGCCTGTCTTGAGGTTACACCCCTATATGTCCCCACACCAATACTCCCCTGCACCGATACTCCCCCACAGTATCGATGCGGGAAAGCAATGATTTGGGGGAGTAACGGTGCACCTACATCGGCAATTTTACTGGGGATGTATCGATGCAGGGATCTATCGGTGTGGGGTTGTATCAATGTGCATAATACACAAAAATTTACTAAGGGGGATTATTGGTGTGGGGGAGTATCAGTGTGGGAGAGTATTGACATGACCCCTTTCTTAATTGTGTAAATTGGCCAACTGTAATCTATTTCCCAGCAGGCACACAACGTTGATGCAATGTTGAATCTTTGTTGAAGTTATGTTGAGATGTTGATAAACATTGAATCAACTGTTGTGTGACTGCTGGGTTTACCTGACTAACTAGTGTGATTTTGATTGTCCGTGAATTGTTTTGTCAATCCACCAAATCTAAAGAACAGCTTTCTGGACTTTTTTCACATATTAAGGTTAACATAAGTGTATTATAAACTGTGATTAAAAGAAATGAAAGGATTGTTAGCTCTCTACAGTAACAGTTCACACTAAGACTTAGTTGTAGATAGTTGTCTTTTAACCCAAGCAATACAATACACATATGATAATTCATAAAAGATGATGTTTCACATTAGAAAAAAAAAATGTTGCCATTATTTCAGGATTTATTGTTGTCATTATTTCAGGATGGTACAGTGGTCCCATGCAGTGTAGTAGCAGGAGATAAAGTTTTACTGCCAGAATATGGAGGCACCAAAGTTGAGATGGATGACAAGGTGGGTAGTCTGGGGAAATAGGTACCTCTTTTAAAAAAGGACTTGGGGACCAAAGTTTGCCTTTAATTTAAAGATTTTGGTCTGGGAAATATCCATCTGTGATGTCTACTAAGATTAGCGCAACCTTTATTTTAATACATTTTTTTATGGTTGCAGTATTTCCATTGAGTGGATAATTGTTTATTTCTCCTGCAGTCAAAATAGACCCAACTATTGATTGGAAACAAATGAGAAATACCAATCCAAGGTGATAAATAACTTTTATTATTTTGCCCATTTATTAATTTTTTTTTTAATTTCAGGAATATTTCATCTTCCGAGACGGAGACATTTTGGGAAAGTTCACCTCTTAGAAGCAAAGTTCAGCAAGACTGTAAATGCGAGTCTGAACAAACTTCTTCTGACGCACTCTTTTATACACTCCATTGTTACTGCCAAGTTAACAGTACGCTGTAACAGAGACGAAGCATTTTATAGTAAAATTATACAAAAAGTGTGAAAGTTAAAATTCAACTTTATTGATCCTTGTATAAAGTTAATGGTGAACTTGGTTGTGTCATTATTTTTATTTAAAGTGACTGCAATGCTCACTTAAAGATCAGGTTTTCACATTACTTGCATTAACTCAAAAAGGTGGGAGTTTTCACATAAAGCTAGTTGAAGTTTATGTAATTGTGGAACTACAATTTAATTGTACATACTCTTAAGTGAGTGAAATTCCTGTTAAATTGCACCAAGTTCTAACCATTAAAGAGTTAATAAAGTTGAAAGCACTACACACTTGCAAAATGTGGAGATGATGTTGAACTGAGAGAATTGAAACATAGGTGAAAGGTTGAATCAGAGTGCAGGAACAGGAAATCATTAGGTCAATTTCATGTTGGTTTCAGTCCAATTTTTTCATCAAAGTGAAGATAGCCAGTTGTGCTGAACCAAAATGATGTGCATGAGATGAAAGGATAGTGGATCAAGATTGCCAAAGCAGAGAATAAATGAAAATATTCAGACGATTCTTAGTCATTGGATGATTATGTAGTTGCTGATTTAAATGATTGGCATTACTGTTTGTATATGATACGCTTATCTTGGTGAACTTCCTGTTGGTTATATTTTTAGGAAAAGATTCTAGAAAAGGGGGACATGTTTCCAGTTGCTGAGAAAAGCTAGAAATGGATGCAATTCTTGATGAAAGGGTTGGGTTCAATATTTGCCCCCTACTCTTTCCTCTAGGACCATGCGAAATCCTTTGTAGGTCTCTTCCAATACTTTCAAATCAATAAATTAAAAACTTTTTTGTCTTACTGTTCATTGAGAAGTTTTTAACTTGATCATGTTGATAACAATAAAGGTGTTTACTGTATTGCACAATAATATGCGTCTGTCTTTTCGATTCAAGAACTTGAAATTTGATTTTGTCCTCTCCCCTTGGTGAAGTTGAATGTTTCCACTCTTGAAGTGCCAGAGCATTATTTGGAAATGCACTTCTCAACAAGTACTGCCTTTTAACAAAATTCATGATGGACGAGGTTTCATTTAAAGGGATAATAACTCTCTTGTTTCGGCCAAAAAATGAATTTTTCTGGAGTAAACAATTTTCCCATACTTACGAATTCAAAGTTAGTCCCTGCTTTTTTTTTCTAAAAAGTTTGGTTTTTTGTTAAAATCTCTTAAGAGATTTTAACAGAGTATAGCCATCAATGGAGGTCACGTGGTATAAAGACGAGCTAAGATATCAGAATAATAGCTGTAACTGCCGTTTTTGTGGTAAAACATAATATATTATATTTCTATGAGTTGTTCACAATGTTTTTATTGTGAAATATAGACCTCATATGAAGAGTTATTATCCCTTTAAGTTCTCAATTTTAAAGTAAATTGAAACAACACATTGCATGTGAAACTTTATTAACATAGATAACTTGTTTAAATAAATGTGGTTATGTACATATTCATTTAGGACCTATAGATTGAGTGGGAAAAATCCCTGTAAAATACACTGATAATGGGCCAACGAACTTCAATAATTATTAACAGTAAATATAAGCATCTACAGAGATCTTGGGCTTCATGCACTTTGTGAAATAATACTGATTTTCACCAAAAATTTCTTTACAAATTTTAAACATTTTGCAACAAAGCAGACTTCTATAAATCAAGGCAACACCTGTTGGACAATCGATAATATACAAATTCTTAAGGATTGTTGGAAGTTCCTGAATACAGACAAAGTTACCAAAAAATGCAATTATTTAAAACAGTGGCTTTTAGCTTACATTAAAATAAAAAATGTGTGAATTTTAAACAATTAAAATTGGTGATCACCTGTACTTGTGCAAAAGACAAGACGCAATAACTTTAGAAGAGCTGTAAGAAAGAATACAACTTAAAAATAGTCCTCACATATTAAAAAAGTAGGTCATATTCATAAGTTTTATTTCAAGCATAAAGTGATGGAAGAATGTCACTTCATAATGACCACCTAAAGACTTGAATGAACAGTTTACATTCACGTGTTAACTTTTCAAATATAATGCATGCTACAATTATAATCTGCCTGGCAGTAGAAGTACTGGAACCCATTTTGGTATATAATTTAAAAATCTTTGTACTTTGGACCTAAGCTGCATAGTTCTCTGTTTACATTTTATTGCCTTTGAATACAACTCTCTTCCTACCCTAAGTGAAAATGAAAATGAATAATTATATATACAGATGAATAATGAGTATAAATAAACTTTGAAAAAAATCATAAGAGTAAATATATTCTGCTCTTCTACTAACTAGTTCACATAATTCTGGTATTTGTTAAAGTTTTAAACCTCTCACTTTCTTTGGTATAGGAATGACTTACATGTGATGCTCATAAAAATTTACATAAACACAAAACAAAGAGCACATTACAAAGCAATTAGTTTGCGAACAAACTGTTTACATATATAAAAAGCTTCATTTACTCCAATACATCTCACTGAAGTTACTTGTCGAGTTACATTTTAACAACCAGCTTATTCTTAATCCATGGACCCTATAGTGTAGGGTCCATGGACAGCTAGATAATGATGTAATATCCTTTGCTCTTGACTTTAAAAAAAAATGAACTCATGGCACAGACGATCATTTCCACAAAACAATCACTTGTCATTTCATCTGAGAGCTGGCAAGTCACACTGTAGTTTGATGCCCAAAGCTCACTGGTGCAGCTTGTGGTGGTCTTTTATTCTGATCAGGTCTGGACAGTTGTGACTGTGCTGAAGGCAGAGGTTTTGATTGTGTTAGGTGAGAAGTGGATTGTGTAGCTGGTTGTGACTTTGGTTGTGATGCTGTTGACTGAGGCTGAGAATGCGGTAGCTGAGACTGAGATTGTGTTGCATGAGACTTGGCTTCTCCATTCAATGCTGGTGTCTTGTCTGCGCCTTGGTTGAAATGCTGCTGTGGTTTCTGCTGTTGACTCTGATGATGATGATGTTGTTGTTGTTGGTGATGATGCTGTGGCACATGCTGCTGTTGATGATGTTGTTGATGGTGATGCTGTGAATGTCCATGGGAATGTTGTCCCTTCTCAGCAGGCACATGACTTTGTGAATGCTGTCTTTGCTGCTGATGTTGATGCATTACTGGTTGCTGCTGTGGGTTAGGTGGAGGTGTAACACCCTGTTTCCCGGAGTATTGTTGCTGCTGTTGAGGATGCAACTGTGGCACACCCCGAGAACCAGAGGGATTTTCCTGATGACCTTTAAAGGATCCCTGTCTGTTGAAATTCCCAGCCTCTACCATGCCCTGGGGGTGTGGCATGGAGTACTGAGGGTGTGGCCCACGAAGCGACCCCGTCCTAACAAATGCACCATTCTGCACCGGCTTGTCTTGGTACGGGGCCTGTCTTGTTGGTTGTCCCTCTGGTGACAATTCATAGTGACCACGCAGAGAGCCCTGCCTCACAAAGGCAGCCTGAGGCAGCTGGGAATAACCTGACTGCTGAGACTGTGGTGGGGATGGTGTGGGGGTGTGATCCTTCTGTCTCAGTGCATGTTCCCTCTGCAGCTGTTGTAGCTTCAAGTACTGTTCCTGAAGCTGGAAGCTTTTTGTCCTCAACATCTCTGGTCTCTGATCCATCATTGGCTGCCTCACCAGGCTAACCCTCTGAGGAGCTGTGGCCGGAGCAGGTGCTTTCTTCACCGTCTCAGGACTCTCTGGGGTGCCAGGGCATGGTGAAGAAACATCTTCAGTATCGCCTTTACTACCATCCTCTTTGGGTTCCTTTAATGGGGTAACTTGGTCCTGGTGTGGCTGAACCGGCTCTTCTGGTCTTGGTTTCTGCTCCTGTAAGTCAGGCCTGTTCAGACTGGCCTGGATACCCTGGGCAATGTCCTGCTGGAATTTACTGCGTCCAGAACTCGGTGCTGGCTCCTGATTGGAAGTCTTCACATCAACCTGGCCAGATGCCCCTTTCTGACCTTCGCCCTGACCTTTGACATAATTTTCATCGCGCACTGGAGATTCATCATCTTTTTCAGCACCATTTTCATCGTCCATCATAGGTATGTCATCATGTGCGGACCCAAAACTTTTTGCCTGCTGTTGGTTCTGATCTGAGATTGATTTGTCCTGTTCAGATGGCTCTTTGAATTTTGTTCCCTCGGCAAGGTATGGCTGTGTGCGACTTGTGTCACCGCTATCTGCTGCTTCTCTGTCACGCTTTGGACAGCGACTTGTGACGCCACCTGGTAGCTCCCGGCTAATGGTCCCCTGGCCGGCAGTTTGAGAGTAGCTGGCCTTATGTAGCCTCCCCCTGGAATGACCCGCTTGAAAGCGGACTGTTGGCTCTGTGCCAAAGAGGGTGGGGCAAGGGGCGGGGCATGAGATGATGACTGAGGTTTCTCCAAATCATCATCTATGGAGGTCTCTTTTTCGGGTGAGAGTTCTCGAAGTGCTTTGCGGCGTTTCATGGTGTCAGTCTCTGACCCGTCACGCTCCGGTTGCATGGGATCTGAAGTATTTGACATATCGTTCATAATTCCAGAGTCCCCCTCTAGTTTCTTTCTGGCATCTTCCTCCTCCACTTCCTTCTCTCGTTTCTCTCTCAGTGCCCTGCTGGCCAGTTCCAGGGACTTCTCAAACTTTCGGACTTCGTGAGATGTGACAAGCTTTTTCTTCCTTTCTCTCGAGTTTTCAGAGGCCTGAAATAGTTTGAAAATGCTATAGTCATTCGTAAAAAGACATCAGCCAATATGTGATATAATTCAGTCACAGCATATTCTGCCAATGAAAGCACAGAGTTCAACCTGGAATATTTTTGGTAAAACGTACCAACACAATCTTCTAAAAATAATAATAACCAATGGATCATGAAAAAGTCTGGATAAAATGGACCACTGTATAACAATATGTTTCTGCTAATGATTATCCTGTTACGACACCTATGGGCCTCCGTACCTCTATACTTAACATCCTGGCATCGTGATTGGGAATCATGTGTTGTATATTTTCAAACAAAGCTTTCTTCTCGTCTTCCCCAACTGTCATTGTCATCAGCTGGGGCACCACTGGGGTCCGGTGTTCCTGTACGGAAGCCAACCTGAAATATAGGGGGAGACAGTGGTCAAGATAAACTGAAACCCACATTTGAAAAAATTACACATAAATTTGATCCCCTTTTTTTTTTTTTTTGTATCAGTTTGTTCATTCATTTTTGTTTAATTTGGATTATACAATTTGAATATTGTAAGACTTTCTTTTGTTATAGGTGGGATAAGAAGAGGTATCTATGGACGGCTGTAGCCTTGCAGAAACTGATAGACACATAATAATCCCATAATAATTTGATGAAAACATGCCTCAGATCAGTGACACAGTGACAGCGTGACATGCTGTCATCCAAAGTGCTGTGACTGTGAAATTTAATGATTTCTTAACCTTCATTATAGTAATCTCATGCAAAAAGACTCATTAAAAGAATTTCCATAGGAAATAATGTAAATAAATACACAAATATATAAGCAAAACATTCAGTTTCAATAAATAATAAAATAATCAGACAGTTCAGAATGGCTAACTTTCTAAACAATCCAAGCCTTACACAACTCTTCATGACCTTCTTAACTAACTTAAAATGCTTTTTGTAGACACCAAAATGTGTAAAGCAAATTCAAAAAGTAACCTTACATCTGATTATGTAATTCTCGCTACAAGCATTGATACAAAATATGATCAGTTATGTTTTTTTTTTTTAAGATAGAATTCAAACTGCATTCAAACTTACAAGAGAAAAGTGATTTAATGTCTTTTGGTGAGGGGGAAAAAACAGGTTCCATCTTGTAAGGTATGCAGACCATGTAAATTCAAAGCAACTGTTTCACAGTAAATAAAAAAGAACATTTTGCCAATCTTGTTTTTCTTTGATATGAAAAAAAGTATATGTGTAAGGTTACTTTTCACATCCACTGTTACAGTACTAACTCCCATATCTGATGTAATATCTATAGCAAGAGCAGGTAGGCAGAGTAAGGATACACTGTGTTTCTCAAAGCTGTTGATCCAAGAAAGAAGTGTCAAAAAAGCCCAATCCTTTTAAAACCTTGTAGACAAGCAAGAACCACTCAACTCCAACAAGCTTACTGGTATATGGAGGACTCAAATCAGCACTTGCTCCAAACACTACCTTAGAACAGGTTTGGGAATAGAGACTGATGATTATAATTTTAAGGACCCCCCCCCCCCCCCCCTTTGCCCTCACGAAAGGTTAACATATGCACAGAATCTTTAAAAGTAAATTTCTGGACCAGAAATATCTCAGTAGATGATTACTATGACTAAGGTTAAACTCTGACAGATCATCCAGAAGTTCATGTCCAACAATCATAGAAATTATCTACCAATGCTGACAGACACAGATATTCAATTATTTCTCTATAAATGCCTTCAACTGGGTTTTTAATAACCCCATCTTTAAAAATGAAATACAAAAATTGTTGACTTTCTTTTATATTACATGCAAAATACAAGGTACATTCCCATCCCTGTTGTTACATATATGCTGTACAAAAAATTACATCCACTCATAACTGACAAGCTCATGCTGTGTAAAAAGGAATCAGTTTAAACTAAATAAGTTGTATGCTATGCAGAACAATTCAACCCAAAACTAAAATGGTGGAAGGAAAATGGTGGATACTCCCATTTCATTTGGACAAAATCTATTAAAGTTTAGCCATGATCTTGCCGAAAACCACTTACAACTATAAGGATATACATTATTAAGCAAGGCACAAACAACACTTAATTAAACACCTACAACAACAACAACATTAAGCATTAAGCAAAGATAATGACAACAGCAACAACATGTATTGCTAATACTGGCAACTGCAAAAATACTCCCCAATGCTAAAGCTGCAAGAACAATGTTCAATGATATATGGGACGACAGCTGACAAGTGACACATGACAGACTATACAAGTGACAATTGACATTTGACTATAATTTGGTGAAATATGTCTATACAGGGTAACAAATGAGACAAATGAATGACATAGCAGGCACGAAAGCCCTGAATACCACAGGAAGGAGGGGGATATCACTACGAGGTTACCATTAACCTTTTAAAACTCTGCATGCATAAGGAAATGTCCTCTTAGTGCCATTTTCTAGGATTTCACTAAGGCAACACATGGAGTGGAATGGCCAGAGGGTAGGATGAAAAGTTGGGTACCTTGCCACAAATACGTGGACACTGTTTGCCATGCTGTATCTATGAATGACGGGCAAAGAGGGAGGGGCCAAGGATGATTAAAAACATGCACATACACCACCCACTTAGCAAATTATACCATTACGATGAGACATTTAAGCATGCAAGATTTCACTTTTGCATTGTGTAGGCAAGTCATTTGACAGCAAATAACAGGACAGGAAAATTTGTGGCAAAAAAAAAAAAAAAATGCAGTTTCTGAAAAGCAATTTGGATTAATCCAAGGTGTAACTTGTCACATGACAAGATACCGCTAAAAAATTTACTTTTAATGTAGACTTGTATTGTGACATAAAGCAAAAAATAACATCTGTTATATAAAAATTTAAATTTTAACATCTCAAAAATGTAGCTGCCTTATGTGACTTTATCATTTATTTAAAGCCCAAGGTCATTAAGATACCATGCAAAAGTGCAAATCCAGCATTACAGCGAAATGTACACCAAGCAGAAAGTTTCACAGATCTCTCAGCCTCCTTTACACCCAAATTTGGCCTGAAAGAATTAGTTGTGAAACTCTCTTGAAATATGCCAGCAGTGCGAGAAACACAGTTTATAACCTTTCCGCCATTGGGCATGAGTGTTTTGGGCCGTCGAAATGAGCTACTGGTTTTAAGGATAGACTTTGGCGGGGATTGAGTCGGCTCAGTGACAAGTCTGAAACGAGTGGCAACAGTGCCTCTTTATAATTAACATCCTTCTCATAAATATCATATGCCTCATTAAAGAGTTTAGACATATTAGTGAATCATAGTACTTGACTGATATAAATTGAAACAAATCTAATAACATGATATATGAATAATATCATAATGAATCTGCAGTTAAATAACATTTCATTGATGGACATTACTTTCTGGTTCTTTTTTATACTGGGATTTTGAAAATTACATAATTCACTCACATGAAGGACTGTTCAATTTTTTTCCAAAGACAAAATTTATAATTTTTTTGTGAATTGATGCTCTGATGGTAATATTGCAATTTTTGAAGCAGTTTCATATTAAAAAGCACTCCACTGGCTCATTAGCAATTAACTTTAGCAAACTAAACAGCATAAAGGGACCCATGCTTCAACTCATTCTCAAAGGCCACTGACATTAAAAATATACGAAAAGAAACAGGCAAGACACTCTTTACAATCATCATGGTATCCAGAACTTGTTAGAAAAATCTTTTATTAATAATTCAACTTCTAAATATTAACCTATGTCAAATTTCCACCAAAATTCATTCAAAGGAAACAAGCACATTCAATGCACAAACATATCCCAGTAAAAAAAAAAAAACTCACCTTTTTAGAGTAAAAAGAGTTCCTGTAAGTTTTTTGCACTTCTTTAATGCACTCTCCAGTCTCTCTGGCTCATCCTTCAAATATCTGAAACATTGGGGTAGAATATAATACTATTTATATCATGTAGAGAGAAGATCTTTAGTTTAACTGGTAATATCATTCCATGCATCATTTATGTTATATATAAGATTTTTTCATTCTCAAATATGTCATTTTTTAGCACTTACGGCAATAACCTTTTTTATAATATAGAGACTACAGTTTCCAGCTGTGTTTCAGTATGACAATCTTGAACTATCCAAGTTTGACCTACTTTTCTTCCTTAACGACCACTTCCATCTCTGCTGTCATTACCGTCTTCAGCTCCTCTTGTAACACAGGGAAGCCACCTATAGGAGAAGGAAGAAACACAATTGTCTTAAACTTGAAAAAGTAAAAGGCAAAAATTTTGTAAGTAGCAATGTGTACCATAATAAGACAAGGAGAGGTAAAAATACACCTTATAGTATGCTACTTTTTAACACAAATGCCCAAAATCTAAGTTAACTTTGTTATATCAAATAATTCCATTTCTAATATCCAGTTTTACTAAATAATTTGAACAAATGTTTAAAGAATTGTGCCACATTTGAGAAAAAGACTTAACTATTACCTTTCAACTCTCCAAGTGCTTTGCTAATATGACTCAGTGCCAGCGCCATGGATTCCACGTCAGCCATATTGACCCTGCACCGTCTGTTGATGACATCACTGCGAAGTTCTTCAACTGATGATTCTAGATCACTGAAAGATCATGCCCAATCACAATCATCATTCCACGGCAAACCCAACACAGTCCCTGACTCACAGTGTAAGAATCAAATATTTTTGAAAAATAATTTTATTTGGGACAATTTTAGTGAGAAGTTTTATTTCTAATTTTTTTTCCTTAGGGCTCTTAATCTTTGCTTTGTGAACATCTCTGTGTAGTGTGTCAAAGCAGAAACAAACTAGCTTTATGAAATCTTAGGATAAAGAAACCTTGTTGCAAGTTAGATGAAGAAATGGTATGTGCATTCTCTTCATTACCTCAGTTCATTTTCCACTCTCTTGCAGTCCTGTTTAAATGTGTCACAATGGACATCTGCTCTACTCCGTCTGGCTCTCAGTGGGTGTCCAGACGCCCCTGGTACTCCTGTCATGGCATCCTAATAACACAAAGGATTGTGGGATGTTTGGAACATTATGGGATACAAGTATACAAGACTCAACAAAGAATTGTGAATTTTTAATTATAATAGCTTTATTTTCCTGTCTCCTGCAAAGGAACATCAAGAGCAGGGAAAAGTTTCAGCCAAACCCACAGAAATAATCCTACAATACAAAACAAACAGTCATAAACTGTGAACAAATAGGAAAAAGTTGCAATGTACCAAGTCGTTCTAAGTACCTTTATTTTTTCAAAAGCTTCTCTTATAGTATCCCGTATGTTATCAGCCTGTGCCTCTTGTATCCGTCTGAGATTGCGACACTCTGTCTTCAGTTCCTTGGCCTTTGCCTGGAGTCCTCTGATGGAGTCCTGTACCTCAGAACTTATCTCTGGCTGCGGCGTAGAGGTGGAGCCACCAGATATACCTGACCAATGGAAATGCTCTTGATTATATTCGTGGATTTACGATTCTGACAATGATTTACATAAGAAAGTTTAAACATATTGGCACTGCATGCTGGGAACATGGACAACCCTCAAATTTCCTGCCAGCATCTCTGGCTTTGGTGAGGGGGTAAAGCCTTTAGATTTACCTGACCAATGGAAATGTTCTTGATTATATTTGTGAATTAACAATTTTAACATTGTTTTATGCAAGAAAAACTAACACTGGACGACCCTCAAATTTCCCGCCAGCATCTTTGGCTGTCATGTGGAGGTGGAGCTACCAGATATACCTGGTCAATGGAATGTTCTTCATTATATTTGTGGACTTATAATTTTAACAAATTAAATGTTTCATTCAGGAAAGTTTTCATATATTTGCATTGTATACTGAAAGTATGGATGACCTTAAAATCTCCTGAGGGTCTCCTGGAATTTGTAATGAGCACAAGATTGAACTCCTAATAGTGTAATTAGCTTTTTGTTAGACAATAATCAAAATTCAGATGATTAAATGTAGCAAAAAGTTCCATAAAGATCATTTTGAATGCAATATGCTATATCAAATATTGTTAGACAATGGACCTTAGTTCTGCTGTTTCTTTCCTTTTTTTTTTTTTTTTTTGCACATTTTATTTTTGTTAATTCGTCAATTTATCATGCACATACATTCACTTTACTTTGTGAGTGTACCATGCAAAAATTGGGACAAAAAATCATGCCAGAAGCAATTAATTGCTACCTAATTCAAATATTCAACTGCCTGCTACCTGAAAGTACAAATTATACTAGGTTTGACAATAAAAAAGGCTACATTAGAACAAAATCCAATTCCAAAGTTTCTAATCATTCTCATCATCAATCAGAAAGTGTATTTTTTTTCAGGGCCATGGTATGACATGCAAGTTATTTATGATAAACTTTTCTATTTCAAGCAATGTTAAATGCTGTTATGTACAGTTCTATATTCTACTATCTCTGTTGGCTGTTTCTGTGTAGCATGCTCATGCTCAGTGCATGCTGTATACCTTGTAGAGATGATACAGAACTGCTAGGAGTGGGAGAGTACTGGGTGGACTCTGAAATGTTGCCATTATTCAATGTGGATAATGATTTATGCAACTGTATGAACTTATGTGTCTATTAAAATCTGACATATATATAATTTACATTTTTAAGTTAAATATAATCAATCATCTGACGTAATGTGTAATTCTGATCAGAAAAACTTTTGCCCTCCTTCAGAACCTCTGAAAATACAAAATCTATCACCTTATTCTGTTCTTTTAATTATATAATCTCATACAAGTACAAACTTCAAACATTTTACTGCAAGCTATAATTCCACTTCTGTAAAAGAACACTTCCCTCCCCCCTTAACACCTTACATAAACTCTCAAGCTTTCATATCACCAAATACTACTCACTAGAGGCACTGCCACTTCTGTAAAAGAGCCCCCCCCCCCCCCCCCTCCTCACCCTTCATCTCATATAAATCTCACAAGATTTCATTTCATTTACTAATTACTCACTAGAGGCACTGCCACTGTTGTGACTCCCAGTCAAACTGCCGGCTGCACTGCCTGGTCTACTGACCACATTGTGGACCAGGGCTGTCAGGTTGGCTAGCTGAGCCTCCATCTTGGCCATCTGCATTCTGTGGAGGAGAAACAAGGGTTGTGAAACATCATTTAAGAATATCACCTTTAATTTCAGAACAGTCCTGCTAAAGATAAAACCTTTTAATTGTTAACGTGTAAAAATACGTATAAATTTATGATAAACTTCCACATTTAAATATTTGTCAAAAAAGAAAAAAATTCCTCACCTTGTTCCAGGGTCGTTGCTAGGTGTGGGGGTCACATTCCCAGACCTGGTGCCACTCTGGTATGCATTGTTATAGTTCATGGTGCGGGGGTCACGCTGCATGATGGGGGTGGTGGGTAAACTCTGGGCCGCCATCTGTCTGGAGGGTTGGGGTGGGTAGCCTGGAAAGGGGGGTGGACAATTAAGTCTTTAACTGACAATGAAGTTAATTTACAGACATGAACTCTCCTGCCTCCCTATCTAAATCTCTGAACTTTTATTGTGGAACAACACTTTTTTGGGGCTGGGGTTCTTGGGCAACCTTAGGTCCCATGAGAATTGAATTACATGATTAATTTAGTTAATCTAATTAATTTGTCCAGCCACAGAAAAAACTCATGTCTGTAATTAAAACAGTTGAATATGATCTAAATTTACGTGTGAAAATGGACCAAGATTCCCAATTTATTCACTGTCTGGTGAAATATAAGCTTAAACATATTTTTTAGAAAAACAGATTTTAAATTTAATACAGAGACTGAATTAACCTGACAGACAAAAGTCCCCATTATTTTCATGCTTCAAGAATTTTGTATTCCAAAGGTACAGCAGTTTCAACAGATATCAAATCTCTGATATTTAGCACATAATTTCTTTTTATAATTTCCACGAGTTCCACAGTAACTATATGACAGTGTCAATCAAACATGTCCCCACCTTGATGAGGTCCTGGTGAAGGGGGAGGTCTTTGAGGAGGTCCATATGGCTGAGATGTGGGCGTGGTTCTTCCCCTCTGCCCTTCCCACTGCCCTGTGGGGGTGGGGCCTCTCCCAGGAGGACGGCCTGCCACCACTTGCTGCTGTAGAAACATGCGTTGAATCTCGTCATGTGACATGTACTCACTAGGTGGTGGTAGTGTGCGACTTTGACCAGGGACCTGACGTGCCGTGAAGTGAGGTGAGGGAAGGAAGGAGGGAAGGAAAAGGAAAGAAACAAACATGACTCAAACTGAATATTCTGTGCATGCTAACTAAAGTGCAATTTGAGGTATTATTCCATTATAAAGAAAACTATTAGGGTTTATGCATGCTGTGGTAGATTTCAAAACAAAAAACAAGAATAAAGCATGCCAACTTGAAACACTTTAACGCTTAATCAAACTGTGCAGGTGACAGTGATCTAAGTTTAAGTTGGAAAATTCAAGTATTCAGTAACATTATAGGCCAAGATCAACCTAAACCCACAGCAAAATCCAAGTCTCTAGCTATAAATTTAAAGTAATGGTCCCATAATTCATTTTGAAAATCAGCAGCCAGAATACCAAAAGGTAACAAAATTTAGCAGAAAAGTGACAAATCTCAAGGGTATTTAAAAGCAGAATTCCCATTCACATAAAAAAAATTCTTTAAATTTAAGTCTGTATATTTCATAATGAAGTATTAACAAATGAAATTTTACTAGGCACTTTCTTGAAATTATTCATTTTATCACTGAAGCAAACTTTTCTGATAGATCTACGGTCCAAACACTAATAAATCAGACCAGTTAGTCAAAGAAAAAATTGGTCCAAAAGATGCACGCAGAAACAGTTTCTGCACTCCTTACTACAGATACCTGTTGTGGAGGGTAGCCATGATACGTGGGTGACTTGGTGGGCGGACGGCGCATGTGAGACACCCCTGAGTCGTACTCTGGTTCGGAGTAGTAGCTAGGGTCCTCATAGTTTCTGTTGCCATAGTAAACTGGCTTAGTCTGAAGCGTGTCTTTACTGTCTAAGTCATGAAGCTTCAGGACACAACGGTCACGGATATCTCTGGAATAACGGAGTAATATGATGCTAAAATTGTATTTCTGAAATACTTTTTTTCAAGGACTAAATATAGTTTTATTTAGTTCAGGTTCAAGCATGGAACACCCTAAAATGCGCCAAATTCAGTTAAAGATGGCTTGCTTGTTTTATATGAGCTACTGCAGTAAACTGAGGTGACATACATTACATAACTGAATGCACATATTTTTCATTCACTGTGCCTTGTGAACACTAAGCTTGGTTAAAAATAACAAATTAGCCTGGTAAACACCCAATCACATTTACAAAAACCTAATGAACACATTATTCACATAACAACTTATGTAACTATGACTGTCAGTCTTTTACACTGCATACCTCACATCCTCTAGAGGGCGATAGTAGTTGCTGTTGGGATCCATGACAAAGATCTTCTTGCGGGGGTTTTCTAACATCTTCATGTTGAGTTGGTCACCAAACGAGCGAGCAAAGAGAGCCTTGATTGTGTCTAAGTGAGCCAGCTCTGGAGGCAGGAGAGCTCGCTTTGTGGCTCCGTTGAAGACCAAAAATACCAAGGCTGAAATTTTATAAATATTTCAATGTTATGTAAAATATAAAAAATGAATGAATATTTAAATGTATAAATCAAAATGAAAAAGATGAACATCACAAATGACTTTAAATAGTCAAAGTGCATGTTTGGATTCATATGGTTGTAGTTTCAAACATTTAAACAAAAACTGAATCAGAAGCTGGACTTTTGTGCACAGAAGTGTACTGTACGTTATTTGATTTTCATTCTTTCTTTGTTTCTTTTTCAGCATCATATAGCTGCATTGTTTGAAGATAAAGATAAACTCATTAATTCAAAACAAGTTGTAGATTCTTAATATACCAAATATATATTTGCACTTTCATACCAAATATAAGGCAGATGTGGAATACAACATAAAGACACTTAATATCTTTCTGAAATAAATTGAACTACATATGGCAGACAAAAATCTTCATTCACCTGGTGGTCTTTCTCCACGCGGGGACCTCATAGGGAGACTGGAACGGACAAATCCTCCTCGACGAAAATTTCCTGTGGCCTCTGTTTCTGCCTCAGACATAATTCCATCATCCTCTTCTTCGTATCCGTAATGCTGGCGTTGGTCCTGAGCAACCATTCTTCTCTGCATCTGAACACTTGAGGGTCGAACCTAGAATGAGAAAGTCATAGTGTTTTATTTGGAAGTGATAGGCACGAGTAATTTATATTTTGACTATTTTGCTTGTGTGAAAACAACACTGTTCTAAATGTTGAAACATCTCTTGCTTTCAAATTTTCACAGTTGAAGGTTAACTATTCCACACATCAACTATACCAATCATACATGTTTTGAATTTCCTATGAGGCAAGGCAAGGAATTTATATGAAAAGGTTTGCTTGCTTGCTGTTAATTAGCACTTTGATCATTTGAAAAAGACAACTGTAGCCATCTGACCTTGTTTTTGTTTTGCTTATGTGAGCAAATTCTTATAAACAGTAGACTGTGTGATTCATTACTGTGTAATGTGGATTTAGTTTGTCATTTACCTCAAACAAAATTTTTCAAACCAAAATTTTCTTTCATCTGACCTCGATTGTTTAAACTGATAGGATTGCACAGATAAACACACACAAGAAAAAAAAAAAAACTAGGACATTAGCCATCTGAAATTATATATCCTCTGTGGTTTAAAAATACTTCACAAAGATGTTAACTGGATATAATTCAGCATTAATGTGTAACCTTAGAACAAACTACTAATCTCATGAAAATAATATAAATCATATCAGATTCTGAAAGAAATAACAGAAGGACTGATTTATAACTAACTTCAATTTATAGCCACTTTCAATTTTTCCATTCAAAATCTTATACCTAGAAATTTAAAAACTTTCCCATATCAATACAAAATATAAATACAAAACCCATCCCCTGCGAAAATTTGTCTCATTTAAGGTTCACTTACAATCTGTCCTAAAACATTTTTTAATCTTTTAATTAAACATTCTTGATCTGTTCATTGTTATATTCATTACAGAACAACATTAGAAATGTAAAAAAAAATACACCAAATGTTCTAGAATAGATTGAGAACCGTGAGTGAATGTTAAATGAGACAAATGTTCACAGGGGGATGACCAGGTCTGTTCTGGTTCTGTGTTCTCACCTCCATAGCAGGGTCCGGTACTCTCTGATGGTACCCCTGTATTGTGTTGGAATGTTGGGGGTACCTCTGGGCCAGATGGTCAAATAGGGCGTCCCTCTGCTTTAACTTCACCTGCAAGGACAATATTGACCAATGGTCAGTTTATCTGGTTACCATCAATAATCTAGCTCCTTTACTGGTCATTTTATGGTAAGAACATTGCTGCTGTGTTAGCCATTTTGTCCATTTATTTTGTCCAACTTAATCCAAACCACGTTATTTTCATTAAATATATTAAGTATTTCAATGGGTTTTAAAACATAACCTTATATTACTTTAACTTATCATATATTTAAAAGAGTTATGTCATGTCTTTTATGGTGCTTTGCTAAACCCAGTTTTTTAGGACATTTTTTTATTTGTACTAGTAATAACATGAACATCATGTTAGATATCACCTATAAGCAGAAAAGTAGAACATCCTACAGAATTTCATATACATGCATGAAAAAAGTAAAATTCAGTAACGCTCATAAATCATACTTGAGCATTGCATTTTTGTGTTATAAGTTTGGCTAACAAAGTTGCAAACTAAATGGACATTATTCTCATTTCATTAACAGCAATAAAAACTAAAATAAAGAAAAAAAATTGACATAAAATCTTTTTACTGCAACAGCTGCTTTCATACTGACTTTCCTATATTTTCGTATCAAGGCACTTAGATGCAGTTATTCAAAATCATTTTTGACAGCAGATGTCACAGTTCATGTTCTTAATAGCTATTTGTTGTTTCAGAGCATTTTATGAACAGATGCACATAACATGTGTTGTTTGAGAGCATTTATGAACAAATGAACATGACAATGTCTACATTTTCTTGTCCAATTAATTCCAAGCGAAAAGAGCAAACAAACCAAGCACTAAAAACATCCTCTCCAGCCTAACATAATATTATTGTTCAGTTTGGATGAATTGCTATTCAAAGTAATCTTTGAAAGCAATCCTGAAAGGAAAAAATTGAACCCCAGTAGCCTGAATAGGCAAGAAATGTAACTGTGAAAAAGAAAGTGTCTGTAAAGTTCATGTACTTCTAACTGTCTATGGGTAAGACTCCCCCTCTTGAATATACATAAGCAATAGAAAAAAATATAAAAAATAAGACAAAATAAGAAAAAATCAATAAACAAATTGCTATTTAAGATAACTGTTCATTCTTGTTGATTTTTAAAAGGAATATTTGAGCAATCTGATAATGTTTATGTCTTTGAGAATAGTATAAGTTTATAACTATATTCCACAGAAATGTGTACTCCAACTTGATTCAATACCAAATTTCAAACGAAAATGTTTAAGACCAAATGTGGAGGGGCATTTCATTGGCTGACCAAGAGTCCCAAATATATCACCTCTTCCTCGGCCCTCATGATGTCCCCTGCGATGCCTGATCCCCCTACTGTGTGGCGCCTGATCTTCCCCTTCCTGCTGGTGGCGCGATCTAATGACGCCGTCTCATACTCACCCCGCGCATTTACTGGAAACAGAAAAAGAAATCTGGGTAAAAAATCTGATAAATTAATTTTCTACCTCTAGCATCATTAACAACTCAAAAAAAATTTAAATAGTGATTGGCTAAATTAACTTTTAGTTGTAGACAATTCTAGGGCTAGAAACAATAAAAAATTATTTTAATTTCCCGTTGCAACATATTCTAGCACTGTACTTTCGCACTTTTGCTTACATTCATACTGAAATGAAAAAAGTTTGGAACATTTCCTCACTGGTCTAGACAAATAATCCTATAGTATACACACTTGTTTACTCTCTCCAATGTACAGGGAATATGATCACATTTATTCAACAGAAATATGAAGCTGTATTTTCCCTGT